AGATGAAAAGAATGTGTGTGCAAAATTTGGGATCATACAAATACTATAAACTTGGTTTTCTAGAAGTGTCGTTACATTATACTATGATACAACCGTTGCATTGGATCACACACACACACACACACACACACACACACACACATATATATATATATATATATACCTCTTTGCTGAAAAAGTAAAAGAACGTTTAAAAAATAAAAATAGTGGTGTAATCAATTATTCTCAATACACTTTAGGAGAATTATCTTCAGAAATTTGTGCTGAAGGCTTAGCTCTATGTACAGATCTGAAACTCAAAAAGCAACTTGATAAACAGAATTTAAGTGGTAAAAAAGAGTTAGGAGATTTCTGCCAACAATTTGGCTATCATATGGATCAAACTCATATAGATAAAACGAAACCACATAAAATACATAAAGTATATAAAAAGAAAAAACATCGTAATAAACCCGAAAAAACACATAAGTCTTTTCCAACCAAACAGAAAAAATATAGAAAATTTACGAAACGTTTTGCTTCTAAATCATCCCAACAGAATAAAAAGAAATTACCCGTTTGTTATAAATGTGGCAAAGTCGGCCATTATAAAAGCCAATGCAAAGTCAAACAAAAATTAGACTCCATTACATTAGATGAGTCTATCAGAAATAAAATCTATGATATTATTCAAATATACGATTCATCTGATAGTTCCGATACAGACACTACTTCCTCAAGTAGTGATACTTCTTTTATAAGAACAATACATAATGATGATTTTTATTGGTCAGATATTAGTACAGAAGACGAAATATGTCAATGTCCAACTACAATTTCTGATATTCACACACTCACAAAAGAAGATAATCTTATTTTAGATTTAATAGAAAAATATCTGATCCTGATGAAAAAAGAGAAATAATTACTCAGTTTATCAATTTAACCAAAATAAAAACAAAACATATACCCTTAATTAAACCTCATGATAATTATAATTTTTCTGATATCATGAAACGAATCAGTCAGCATGAAGCCACCCAAAAAGAACCAACCATTGCTGAGCTCAAAGCTGAAGTAAATATAGTCAAGTTTGAATTAACCCAATTAAAAAATAGAATTCAAATTCTTGATCTCTCCAATAATACTTCAGAAATAGAAACTGACACAGATGTCATAGAATTTAATCATTTACTTAAATCATATCATCCTAATGAT